ACCGTCTGTCAATGATTTCGCAGTGCGTATTGATAACTACAGATTAATTCGAAATGATCGGTTGACTGGCAGAGGTGGAGGCGTTTATATTTATATTGCACGTGGTCTTACATTTAGGGTTTTATTGAAAGTTTCTTTCGAGGGTTGTGAATCTATTTTGATTCTGATAAATTTTGGTGATGTTCGAATACTTTTTGGTGTGGCGTACTTACCGCATGATGATTTAGTGGCTTTTGAGAGCTCTCATTTTGAATTATTATCTAGATTTTCTAATATAGTGGTTGTGGGAGATTTTAATTGCAGTATGTTTAATGTTTCTAGAGCGGTCTAAATGAGATTTTTGTGTACACATCTTGGTATTTCTATCTTTCATAATTCTAGACCAACTTATTTTGATATAGCTCATTCTACAACGTCGTTACTGGATTATTGGTTAGTAAGTGATCAGTCCACAATTCTATTCCCCGCCAAGCACAATGTCCATCAATTTCACATCACTCTCTAATCTTTGCCGTTTTTGCTTGTAATATTTTAAGCCACTGTGAATTTGTAGAATATCGTGATTTTACTAGAATTGATTGGGATGGATTCTTGTTGAAATTATCGGAATTTAATATAAATTCTTATTTGTCATCAAATGATGTAGAATCTCAAAACTATATTCTTAATAACTTGATTGCCACTCTTTATAGTTTCGTTCCCTTAGTCAAAAAAGATTTCTTCAACATGATAATAATTGGATGAAGTCCAGAAAAATTTTGCTCGCCTATTCATTAATAGATTTATCTTTTAATTGGGGGTGTATTGCAGATATATGAACAAGGCTAAGAATGTTGTTCGTAGGGAGAAAAGAAAATTTTATACGCGATTATTTTCTGGACTTGATTCAACTAATTTATGGAAAGTATCAAACAGGTGTTATGGAGAATGACAAACGGTCTACATGACCGTGACATGAATGTAGATGATATTAACAGCTACTTTGTTAATGTTAGAACCTCTGCTGATAATGATCTAATTAATTTTGACTCTTTTGAGGATGAGTTGGATTCTTTCTCTTTTAGATGTGTAGTTGAAGGTGAGTTATATGAGGCTGTCTGTAGAGTGAAGTCTAATTCAATAGGTGTGGACTTAATTCCTATTCGGTTCTTAAAAGCTATTTTCCTTTACTAATTATCAAATTGTTTCACGTCAATATGCATTTCGTCGTGGCCATAATACGACATCACTACTTCTTAACCTGAGTGATGATGTGAGATGAAGCCTGAACAATAATGACCTTCCAAATTTTGTGGAGAACTATTTTTGTAAACCCTACATATTCGCAGATGATGTAATGTTACTGTTTACTGGTGTACGTAGTGAGGATGATTATTTAAGATCGGACATTAATAATTCTCTTTTGAGATTTTTATCGTGGTCCTCACAAAATTATTTTTCAGTGAATAATTCAAAAAGCAATGCATTGTTGTTTGGAGATTCTGAGCGGTTTCTTCACGGACTTGATATTTCCATTGGTGGTTAATCCATTGAAGTTGTTGATTGTGTGAGATGTTTAGGTGTATATATTGACAGGCATTTACGTTTCTCCAACCATGTAGACCACGTGTGTTTTGGAGTCACTAATATTTTGCGAAGGTTCTATTCAACAAAGGTATATTTGCCTTACCGCGTGAGGCTTCTTTAGGCACGTACTGTATTAATGCCCCAGATTTTATATGGCCTTGAGATTTTTTTCGGATGCTTTGGCCACTATTACTTCTATATTAAATCGAATTGTTAATACGATTATACGCTATGTGTATGGTGTTCGTAGATATGATCATGTATCTTGGCTGTGATTTTAATAATTTCATTCACCTCCGGAATTTATTACTTTTTTATAAAGCTGTCAAGTGGGGAGTACCTTTTCAACTCTGTTCTCGGTTTAATTTTTTACATACGTCTAGAAATCCACAAATTCGTATACCTAGGATCTTATGTAGTCAGGGTGGTTCGTAAATGGAACTTTTTGCCCTTAGAACTTCGTGTGTTTTCTCACTCCAACAATGCATTTCACCTAAAATTGTTATCGACTTTTTTTAACATATGATTTAAGTTCTATAACTATTTTTCTTTTTTAATTAAAACTTAATGATTATATAAATGTACATCTTCATGTCTGTTCTGTAAATCGATTCGTTTTCAAATCCGAGTAGGTTTTAAAACCGAATTTGGTGTTCTGCAAATCGAATTTTTATTTGAACGTAAAATTTAGGAAAATAAACATATTTAAAGCGAAACGGCCACACATCAAATTTGTTTGACTCAAACGGTAAGTTTTTTTATTGTGTTAGTGAAAAAACTCACATGTGTATATGCGATGTGAGTTTCTTTACTAACAGAATCAAACGTTTGAGTCAAACAATTTGATGTGTCGCCAAGGCGCTTAAATGAAAAAGAGTTTAAAAAGAAGACAATTGTAAATTTAATATGAAAATTAATGAAAACCTAAATTTAAAACCAAAAAAATTTATTTTGAGTGTGCATAACACTGTGATACAAAAGTGAAGAAAAATAAAATGCAGGCGTTCTCATATACCAATTCTATTTCGTTATAGTCCATAGAGTACGAATATATTTTTAGTTTTCCCCTATCACTTCGTTAACTTACTTTTTAAGAGCAAACTATGCGAAAAAGAGCCATTTTTGAAGTTTTTAATTTGAAAAATCATAAGTTTAGTAGTTTTCATCCGATTTTTTAAATCCGATATTTTTTTTAAAGTTACAAGTGTTGCCTTTTATTCCAAAAAAAGAAATCCAAAATTTATGGTCAAATGTCTGAGTTACGGTCGTTTAAGTAAAAAAACTCACATTTTTTTAAAAATTTTCATTTTCATCATGCCCTACTTTGGCCATGAAGCAGTGAGTTCATCTTTTATTACTTTCCTGAAGAATCACATAAAGGAAGCTTTCTAAAACTTGTTATTTCATAAAAATCTATGAAAAACTGGATGATTTATGCCAATTTTTCTAATAGCATGTTCCTCGAATTTTTGGTTTTCTCCATACAAATTAATTTTTGTATAAAAATGTTTATAAACATTTTTTAAACTTGTTACAAAGAAAACTAGAAACATGAACGTTTTTGTATGGAAGAAATATGCAATATTTTTATAAAACTTAGCACAACTCATAACCTTTTTCATCGATTATTATAAATTGACCATCATTGGAAACCCAACTTAATGTGCCTTTTTTCAAATGTAATAAAAGCTAAAGTTACTGCTTCATGGCCAACAGTATGAAGCAGAGCAGTATGAAAATTAAAAATTGTGAAAAAAATGTGAGTTTTTTTACTTAAATGGCCATAACCAAGACATTAATCATAAATTTTGGATTTATTTTTTTAGGTTGAAAGACAACACTTGTATCTTTAAAACAAAATATCCAATTTGAAAATCGGTTGCAAACTACCAAACATATATTTTTTTAAAGTTAAAACTTCAAAAATAGCTCTTTTTCACATCTTTTGCTCTTAAAAAGGAACTAAACGAAGTGATCGGGAAAAATTAAAAATATATTACTACTCTATGGACTATAACGAAATGGAATTGGTATATGAGAACCCCTGCATTTTTTTGCTGTATCACTGTGTAATTTATACTAATCAATAAATAGAACAATTTAATATTTATATTTATAAAAATTGTATTAATTTTTTTGCATCAGCTGTTTACACTTTTGCATTTCAAGCTTAAGTTTAAACACCTCCATTAGGCGCTTAAATTTGCTAACAAAATTAACTAATTGAGTACTCAAAGACAACTTTCGAGGATTAATTTTAATTTAATCGCTAATATTTCACCTAAAGATTGACCCTTAATGTATTAGAATAAAATTAAATTCGATTTACTTTCGACTCGATTTGTGTACTCGGATTTAAAACGAAAAAAATTATGAGAACTCGTTTTACGAGAAATTTACTCGGATTCGGTTTACAGAACAGACGGGATTATGTATATTTTATCTGTTGCTTTGGGATCGATATGCTAAGAGCGGGTTTTTGAGATGGTAATCAAATGCCAATTAATAATCAGATTAGTTAATCTAAAAATAAATTTAATCTTATGTTAATCCCCTTTGATGTTTTTGAGTACAAGATTAAACTTCGCAGTGTTGCCATACAAAACAACAGAAAATTTCACTGTTTGTTATCAAAAAAATGCATATTTTATAAAAAAGAAGAAGACAATTGTAAATTTAATATGAAAATTAATGAAAACTTAAATTAAAAACAAAAAAATGTATTTTGAAGTGTCCACAATTTATACTAATCAATAAATAGAACATTTTAATGTTTATATTTATAAATTATATGAGAACCCCTGCATTTTTTTGCTGTATCACTGTGTAATTTATACTAATCAATAAATAGAACAATTTAATATTTATATTTATAAAAATTGTATTATTTTTTTTGCATCAGCTGTTTACACTTTTGCATTTCGTGCTTAAGATTAAACCACCTCCATTGGGCGCTTAAACTTGCTAACAAAATTAACTAATTGAGTACTCAAAAACATCTTTCGAGGATTAATTTTAATTTAATCGCTAATCTTTCACCTAAAGATTGGCCCTAAGACTTTTACATAAAACAATTTGCTTTTAAATCAGTGGTATCAATCAATAAATTCGAATGTTATGTAAACTTATTGCTCATTGAATTGTATTTAAATAATATTCAGGAAAAATACCTTTGTAATATAAGTTTTATTGGCCTTAATGAGGCTTTTTTATATTACTGTTTGAATAAATAAATAAATATGAGTGCATAATCTATACATCCTAAGGAGTAAAATTTAAAATGTATGTATGATTGCGATGTTATAACCTAAAGGTCATATACATATGTATTTATATATCTAATTTACTTTGAAATTGTCAAACTTATTTTAATCAGAACTTTAAAAATTGAATTTATTGATTAAAAATGCAATTATTTTTTTATTATTAAACAGGCAATGTTCTACATTAACTACATAATAATACGCACACCAAAGGAATGTCCTGTTTTGCCAAGTGCTCTTAAAATTCGAGGAAATTTTAGTTATCATGATTGTTTTTTTGAGGTTTGTATTTATATTTGTACTTTTTTATATTATGAAGTCTATTGAAAGCATAAATCGATTTCCTTTCCAAAAAATATATTTTGTTTTCAGCAAGCGTCTAAGGATTATGAAATGTATTTAGAAGTCTATAAAGTGACTAAAACTCCGAACGAAGATGTTTGTGAAGTGTATGGTCATCTAGTTGTGTGTATGTACATGATGAGAAAACTTGTTAAAGCTAAAAAATATTTCAGATCTTATAAGAAATATAAAGGTTGGTTCAAAATTTATCGATACGACTTTTTATTAATTTAATTAAAATAATTTTTGTTTTTTAAGCTAAATTATCACCAGATATTTTAAAAAAATCAACTTTTGGTAAGTAAAAAACGTCATGAAAAATTATTTTCTTCTATTTTAATAAATTTTGTAATATAGTCATGACTTTTTTGACCCTATAATCTATAAAAGATTTTAATCCCTTAAACACTCGAGTTTCTTAAAATCACTTTCTAATGATTCTATACAATACCAAAGAAACCTAGTACCAAAAATTTATTTATTTATTTATTTAATTTGTTATTATACAATTATAACTGAGCCCAAAGGGCCATATATAGTTAACAAATTTACTACATATAATGAAAAACCACTTAACAAAGAGTAAATAACAAAATGTTTAAAAATAAATACAATATAAATCTTATATATATATATATATTCTTAAGATTAGATAGGAAGAATAAAGAAAGAGAAAGAAAAGGATATAGATATAGAAGAGAAAATGGGGAAAATCTCAATTGCAAGATGGTGATAAAAATCAATTATGAATCATTATTTAGAAGATGAACAAATATTTTATTTTTGAAGGTGTTATAAGAAAATCGAAATGTTCTAAGAGAGCTGGGCAAATTATTGAATATTCTAGCCACTCGCACGTGGAAAGAACGCTCCAGTACTGATGTTAGTCTAGGAATCTGAATTTGACGATAACGACTTAAGCGACTAAAGGATAAAAATGACATAATGCGTAAAAGTCGTAACTTTATATAATTAAGAAAAGAACATTTTAAAAATCTGCAAACATAAATTGATACATGATTACGACGTCGTAAACAGAAAAGGTATCAAATAACTCTATTAAATAATTTGGTGAGTATTTTAATGTTGTACCCTAAGGTACCACTGTAAATCTCGATCCCATATAAAAATATAGGCATAATTAATGAATGAATTATTATTATTATTTTAACATTCATAGGTAAAATCAAATTGGTGTTATAAATGTTACGTAAAGCATAATTGACCCTGGATATAACAAAATGTATATGTCTATCAAAGCAAAGCTTGTTATCTATCCACAATCCGAGACATTTGATGTGGTCAACAAATATAATTTCATTACCGTTAAGATTTAAAGAAAATTGAGCATTAGGTAAACCAAAAACTACAGCCTTCGTTTTCGAAGTGTTTATAATCAATTTATTTCTACACATCCAATTGTTAATATTGGAAACAGCATAAGCAAGCTGCACTTGCATTACATCAGCAAATTGTTTTTCACCACAAAAAAGATAAAATAAATCATCCGCGTAAGCAAATGGAATACAAGATGAGTTCTTATCAAATTCCCTGAAAATGTCATTGATATAAATATTAAATAGGATAGGCCCTAGTACCGAGCCCTGAGGTACACCACTTCTAACCGGTAAAATACTGGAAACTTTTTCACCAATTGAGACATACTGAAATCGATCAACAAGATATGAAAGTAAAAGTTTGCAAGATGATAATGTAAGACCAAGATTTTGATGCAATTTTGAAATTAAAATGCAATAATCGACTTTATCAAATGCCTTAGTGAGGTCCATTGAAAGAAGGACATTGAAATTTCCTTTATTTACTGTCTTATAGTATCTGTCAATCCCAGTAAAAGAGAGGTCGTATTTCTACCATGCCTAAAACCATATTGAGCATCACTAAAAAACGATGTTTCATCAATATAATCCAATAACTGATTTTTAAGCAAAACTTCCACAACTTTAGATATTACAGGTAATATTGAAATTGGACGCAAATTTGAAATATCATTAGATTCTCCGATTTTCCTTATGGGCACAACTCTACCTATTTTCCAACCCATAGGAAATGTAGAAGTAGTTATTATATTATTAACAAGATGCAATATGTAAGTTCCAATAAAGGGAAAGACTAATTTAAGAAATTTAACTGAAAATCCATCGCAACCAACAGCATTAGATTTAATTGATTGTAATGCATTAACTAATTCATCCAGGTTAACAGTTCGAAAAGAAAATCTATTATTATAAGAAAAATCTATTCTATCAAAATTAATAAATGAGTTATCACCTTGATTAGAAGAAAAGAAAGAATTTAAATTTTCAACATCAATTTGATCAATGTTAGTAACAGTATCTCCAATTCCATTTGCTCGAAGTGTGTTCCAAATTTGTTCAGAGTTCTTATCATGAAATAATGTAGCATGTGCTTTGCGTTTTGCATTACGTATAATGGTTTTTGACCGATTTCTTAAGCGGCAGAAGTTATTCCAATTCTCCTTCGATCTTTTCCGCAAGTATAAACGATAAGAAGCATTTCTAATCGTCAAACTATTTTTGATCTCAGGGGAATTAAACCACGAGTCATCACTAAATCTACAAACTTTACGTTTTTTAAATGGCACAGCGCTGTGCATTTGACATAAATATAAGAATAATAAATTGGCTTGCTCATTAACATCAGCGGTGTAGAAAATTCTATCAAAATCACAAGAATTAAAAATAAATTCTAAAAGAGAATAATCAACATCATTAAAATCGAAATATTCAATGAATTCCTTAACCATCGGTATTTTTACATCAAAAACTGCATATATAAATGAATGACGTGAAGTTCCTGGGATTTGAACTTGTCCTGATTGAATGGTGTTCATAGACGGAGATATAAGAAAATAATCAATTAAAGATGTTGAACCAAATCTTATGCTCAAATGAGTAGGTAGAGAGTTATGATGACAGATCATGTTTAATCTACTGCACATTTCCCTTACAGAAACTGCTCTAGAAATATCAAACATATTGTTATTAAAATCACCAATAATGACAATATCATAAAATTCATGATTCTGTTCGGGCTGATCGATGATGAATCAATCATTATACAAATCGTGACCTAAAACGCAAACGGCCCTATCTAGGTTAGGTTAGGTTAGGTTGTTGAGGCAGTCGGTCCTTCGACCGACTCACTTGGGTCCTTATGGTCCCGTTGTGATACCCTATAGCGGATCCTACGAGAGGAAAACCAAAACCTATGGGACATTACATGTCCGTGTTCGATATGGTATTAAACCAGCCTGAGGCACGAATGAACGATTCTATCTTATATACGTCAATATTTGATAGAGCCGCAAGTTCATGCAGTATTGGACTGCCTAGAAACTCAGTCCTGATATTTGCTAGGGCGGGGCAGAGACAGAGGAAGTGTTCAACAGTTTCCTCTTCATCCTCGCTCTGACAGCTCCTGCAGAAATCATTGTATGGAAGATTTAATCTTCTTGCATGCGCACCTATAGTACAGTGCCCTGTTAGGATGGATACCAATATACGTAATCTCATCCTTGAAAGCCCCATCAAGCAAAAAGACCTTCGTTCATCATAGAGAGGCCAGGTCATTCTTGATATAGAGCAATAGGTCAGTGATGACCATCTGGTCTGCGCAGACCCATATAGTTCATGCTGAATAAAGGCCTTACAGCATGAAAGCGGAATACCAACCAGTGTGTCAGTATCCCATGTGTTGAGGCGTGAACCGGCTTTTGCTAGTTCGTCCGCTTTCCTATTTCCGGGAATATTAGAGTGACCCGGTACCCAGAGTAGCTCCAGGCACGAATGGTTCGCCATCTCGTCAAGAGACACCCGACATTCGCGAACCAGTCTGGATGTCGTATAGACACCAGATAGAGATTTAATGGCAGGTTTACTGTCAGTACAGATTCGGATATTACCGTTGCATATCCTATAGTACCTCATCCAGTTAACCGCTCTTTTTATGGCTGAGATTTCAGCCTGTATGACGCTGCAGTAGTCATTCAGCCTAAAACATACCGCTTTGTTTAAGCGGGGGATAAAGAAACCACCACCCACGCCTTTAGTGGACTTAGATCCATCAGTAAAGATGTCAAGTGTTTCACCTTCTGAGAAGGATGGTTCGTTTGACATCTTAACTGTGAATTTTTTGTCCGGAAGGGTCGTGGGAGAGCAGTAATCGATATTCTCGGGGATGTAACTCGTGCACCCCAGGATAGAAGCGTGACCATATCGGTTTGGCTTCCATATTCCGGCAGCATGAAGTCTGACTGCCGAGTTTAATGCCAGTTGCCTGGCCATCAGATCGGCAGGCAACCAGTGCATTAGTGTAAACAACGCCTGCGATGGCGTACTTCTAGTCGCACCAGTGATCATTAGTGCTGAAGCTCGCATTATTCCCTCAGTATGGTTGCAATAGGTGGATTTTTCCAAAGCTTTCCACCAGACAAGCGCACCATACATCAGAATAGGCTTTATAACCATGTCGAAAATCCATTTTGCAGACTTGGGACTAATTCCCCAGTTCTTACCAATGGCCTTCCTACATGCGTACATCGCGATAGATGCCTTAGAGGCTCTCGCTTTGATATTAAGATTCCATAGTAGTTTAGAATCAAGGATGATACCTAAGTATTTTGCACTGTCGGAGAGTTTAAGCTCCACCCCATTCAGGCGAGGAAGAGGGAAGGAAGGAATCTTGTATCTATTAGAGAATAGAACAAGTTCGGTCTTCCCAGGATTAACACTGAGACCACTGTTGTAGCTCCAACGACTCAGTCGGCTCAGTGATTGTTGTAGGCATTGTGAGATAGTGGTCAGATGCTTGCCAGAGACAGCAACCGCCACGTCATCCGCATATGCAATAGTCTTGCACTTCATAGAATCGAGTTCCATGAGCAGTGGGTTAATTGCAATATTCCATAGGAGAGATGATAAGACCCCTCCTTGTGGAGTACCGCGCTTCGCCATTCTGTAAACAGTGGCATTTCCCATTGTAGAAATTATGACTCGATTCGTCAAAAGCCTACTAATGAATTGGGTGATCGGCTGGGTAACACCCAGCCTAGTCAGTTCCAATAAAATTGAATCTGGTAGTACATTATTAAAGGCCCCTTCAATATCAAGGAAGGCCACTAATGCATATTCCCTGTGCTCGAGGGATTTTTCTATAAAACCTACGAGCGAGTGGAGGGCAGTTTCAACAGATCTGCCCTTCATATAGGCATGTTGAGATGCAGATAAACGGTCGGGATCGATCGTACTCCTAATATG